AAAAAAAAGATGAGCAGGAGACAGCTTTTTAAGCACTCTGCAGTGTTGCTTGCATATAACTCTGGATTTGAGAACCAACATCAGCTCCTTCTGGTCCTCCTCTTTCAGGCCAGTACTGCTGATTTGTCATGTCGGTGCTGTTTTATCCATCAGAAGAGCTGTGCCACAGCGGGGGGTTGCATCAAAAACCTCCAGAAATCTCTTGCCAATTACAAGAGTCTGCGATTTGCTCTTGTTCTGCCACTCACCTTGTTCTGCCACATCTCGTTCCTCTGCTCGGGAATCTGCTTTTCAAGCGGGCAGTTGTGTTCCCATGGGATTCAYCCAACTCCATCAATTATTTTTCCTYTGCCAAGTGCAGTAGCTCTTCACTRAACTGTATCAACCAGGGAGCAGACAGCTGGTCTGTCCCACACCCTCAGTTACCTTCCAGATACTCACACAGCGGCTATGTTCAAGCCAATGGCAAATCTACACTGYTTCCATCAAACATTTTTCCACTAGTATCTCTGCTGGAAATCCCTCCTTGATTGTCTGAAAACATTGCTGACTGACACAAAAGTGCTGCTAGTGAAAATATACATCACTGTCTCTCTGCAGAATGTCCCATGGCAGGGGAATGCTGAGCTGAAGTCTGCTCTTGGTCTTACATGCACAAATCCAGAGCAATTATCCTGAAGACTGACTAACCCTATCCCAAAGTAAAGGCAGAAGCTACTTGTGTCTCCTGCAGTGGCTTCAACACATTCATCCCAGAGCAGCACCGTTCTTAAGGGAAGGGAGTCGCTGGGATGGCAAAGGGAGAGGGGGCATCTCGGTGCTCAGATTAAGCAGATTTTGCAGCCATACAATTGCTGCAGCATTTGCTGAAGACTCACAGGGAGTCCCTCACACAGTCGGGCAAGAGCAGGCAGCCAAAGCAGGTGGAAGACACGAGGGCAGGGAAGGATGTTGTGGGGAAGACAGAAGYGGAGCTGGGACGGGTGACAACCATGCAGGGCTCTTGTCATTCTTGAGCAACGTCACTCACCATCTTTACCTTACTCAACTCTTTTGTGGAAAAAATAAAACAGCCATTCAAAAATTGTGATCTTAAGGAACTGCAGTCACCCCTCCATGTTATATGTTCTTTAAGCTGAGAATTTTAAATTATTAATGTTTCAGCAGAGGCTAAAGCTTGCATTGCGCCACTGCCTCCTGCCCCACAGCATCCCTGGCGCCGGGCAGAGCCAGCAGCTTTGCCAGGCAGAGACCCTCGGGAACACCGACACGACCTCCCACCTCTCTCCTTTGCTTCAGGGTCTCAACAGAGGTGCCGAACAGCCAGCACCCGACCCCTTCCCGCAGGGCACTGCTCACAGGACTTCAGAGGCCTTAGTTTTGCTTTCTCCTGCCTGCTGATCCCCCAAACGCTCCCTCGGGCTGAGGGGAAGGACATTCAGTAATGTGCAGTTAAAGAGCTAGGATCTCTTAGCTTACAGGCAACGTTTTCATGGCACTGCTTTTTCACACTAGCAAATCTGGTGCTGTCCAACCACTCCTCCCGAGGGTTTATTACAACCCTGAATTACACCCATTGCATCCTGGTGGAACCCCGCGGCGTCTTTAACACGTTGCATTTTGAAAGGTTCCAAAATAAACCGCAGCAGCATCACAATTACTCATTGTCGTGAGGCTTAAAGGGGGCATTTCTCCACCCCACCGCCCCAGAGGCCACTCTCACCGTGACACCTTCCAGCCGCGCTCCATAACCTGCCTCCAGCCGCGCAGCTGGGGGAACCTCGCGGGGAAACCGCCCAGCGGCGCCTCGCGTTCCCAGCCCGGCGGGACCGGGGTAAAACCAACTGCACCCCTGGGATGCGCCCCGAGGCCGGGGGGCTCCGGCTCCCCGCGCCGCCGCCGCTCACCGCGGAAGAAGCTCTTGGCGCGCACGTAGCTCACGGCGAGGCGCAGCACGGACAGCTTGTCCAGCGCGGCCAGCACGTCCCGCGGGAAGGGCAGCAGCGCCGACAGCCGCCCCAGCTCCGCGTTCAGCCGCTCCCGGTGCCGCTTCGACGGGTTCCACTTGGCGCCGTCACCGGGGCCGCCCGTGGCGCTGCGGGCCGGGGAGAGCGCCGCGTGAGCCGGGCGAGCCGCGGTCCCGCCGCGCGAGCCGCGCTCCCGCCGCCCCGCACACTCACGCGCG